TACAATTTAGTGAGAGGATTTGACATGAAATTCCTTAAGTAAAAAGTAGACACAGGTATCAGAAGCAAACCAAGCAAGAAACAGAAAACATATAGCACATTTTTATTTACAGTTGTATCTTTAGGCTTCATTAACCAAGAATTAGCAAACAACTCTCACGTACACTGAATTCCAGGAAAAAATTGTGGAAAGATATAAAGAAAAAAATATACAAAGGATGTTTAACGAGTTTTCAGCCAGAGGTATTGTACTTATAAATCTTTGAGATTTAGAAATATTTCTCATTGTTTTTGGTTTTATCCACAGGGCCTGATATAAAACTGCTGCTCAGAATAAATGTAAACATTTTTGGATGCAAACAAACCGATCTTTAGGAGCCGCCTGCCATTCTTCCCCATCGCAAATGTCTTCCAATAAAGAGACGACACGAGCATAGCAAGCAGAGGCTGTGTGAAGCCTGGCCTCCGAGGGGGTAAGGCTCAAGTCCTTGGGTGTTGTCCTTTGGCAAACAAGTATCCCATTTGCTGGTAGGCTTGTTTTTAAGGAAACATAACCATAGAAAAGTCTTCCCTATTACAAAAGAGCAAGACTCTGAAAATAATTCTGCAGCAAGCCAGTGGCCCCTCTCCTATTCAGGAAATTACCTCAATTCCTCCTCAGTGCTGTCATGAGGTCCTAAGGTCACATTGAGGTAATGCACACGCCTACTGTAAATCCCGCCGAAACCCGCTATGAAGCTCTTATTGCTAAACCAGTTTAAGCGATTACAGGTGTCTCTTAATAAAACCATAACATTATTAGTTTTGCCTCGAGTTGTAAACAGGTGTTATTAAACGCTGAATGGCTTCCTGTCGCCTCTTAACAAATGATGGTTTGTTTGAGCTCTTCTGGAACTTATTACAAGGCTTTTATCAATGACAAAATCTATTTGTAAACTTTTAAATTTGCCACAAGCGCTTGGGAAGCTTTTACATACCTAAGAAGGTCTCAAAAGTTGACAGAGAAAGGTGTTGGCGTAAGGGAAGGTGGCTTGATGAAGTCTTGGGGGGAACAGGAGGAAGAGATGGAAGGTCTGGAAGCATTCATGAGAAAATTTCTAGATCCAGGAAGGAACATCACGGCTCTAAGGGGGAAAGGGATTCCAGTGTGTCCTCTGACCCCCGGGCCTGCCAGCTCTGTGTGGTTCCCACGCACACGTGCTCTGCATCAGAACTCACTCTCAGAGCGTCAGTGCCTTTGCCATCAGCCAGCTGTGTTTAAGGCTAGGCAGGTGTGTGCGCCCAGAGACAGAGGGAGGGTCTCACTGCCCTGCTGGCTCCTGATCACTCTTTATCACTCTTCTGATAAAACTATACAAGAATCCTTCTTATGGAACCCAAAACCACATACAAATATGGAAATGTCTATGACCTATTTGGGGATTTCATCTAACAGAATAAAAACCACTTAAAGCCAAATCAAATGCATATTTACATTTTGGAGTTAAAGGCAGCTCAGAAACTTGTTCAACTATTCATTTGCATAGCATCTTTTGGAACAAGGTTTATTGCGGTTAGAAATGACATAGGAGAAACATGCACCTTGTGACCATCCTCTCCCCCGTGTCTGCGTAAGAGTGTTTCTGAACGCACGGTGACAAGTGGTACAGCCGACAGGAAAGCTGACTCTCCACACCCGCGAGGAACTGTCCTCCAAATGCCCAGTGTGCCTCAGAGGAAATACACAATTTAGAGATTGACGCTTTAGCAAAAATTTGATTTGAGTTCAATTATTAAAAGGTAGAAAATAATCTGATTCAAATACCTACACTAGGTAGTTTTTTAAAACTAGGCCTTAAAAACAGTACTGGGTCATCCACAATGTATCCGAGTCACTGTTAGGGATGGTAACAACATAGGTATCATTCTTCTTAATGTAGGGTTAGTCCATAAGATAAACCAAAAAGGTGGGGGGGTGTTAATGTCAACTTACTATAGGTTACCAAAAAGATTTAAGCAGGAGTGGACTTCTTTGAACTCATATATATATATTTTTATATACATATAATCTCCATTTTTGAGTTTTAAATAAACTCAAATAATTCTTTAAAAGATCTTAGACACAAGAGTGCAAACTCTACAAACCAAAACTCATAACTTCTACATTTTCACAAATAACTCCATGCAGGATCTATGATCTTGCATGCGATAAGTTGATTTCCATTCAAGTTGCACAAGAACTTCTAGGTTCTAGAATACTACACATTCAAAGAACGTCTTTATAATTACAGGTTGTCGCTAATCTTCTCTACAAAAATAGAATTGCTTAAAAATGTATACCAATTTGCTTTTATTTTCTATAAATACTTTATAATAGAGTTGTTAAATATCAGACTACCTACTAGAATCGTTTAATCTATGTAGTCAAAATACTTAATATCTAAAATGTCTAGCAAAAGTCTGTCATTTAATAAATGAAAAGATCATTTAATAAATGATATAGTCCGTCTTCATTTGTATTTTAGGTAGGTGGATATGATCACAGAACAAATCGTATCTCCTTTGGAGAACAGACTTAAAGTAGGAGGGCAGTTAGCACTAGCACTTCCACTTCACGTCTGTTCTAAGGGAGAAATATACAGAACTTACCTTTTGGATACTTCATTTGGGTGTTGAATTAACTCTCATGCAGCTAGCATAAGATTGGGCTTACAGACTAAGGGAGTAACAAATCTGAGTTCCAAGCTTTAATATTTTAAATATGCTTCTTTAGCGAGCAGCTACACCAATGAAAGATAATGCCGATGAAAGTCACAATGAAGTCTGAAGCAGGAAACTGTAACTCGATACCTACAAAAACAGAAACTGCTACACAGCGACTGACTGATTACAGCTTTGTATCGTCTTCATTCTGAGGGCAGGTTTAAAATCTGTGTTCAGAACTATACAAATATCCAGAGTCAAAAATATTTATTTCAAGGTTTATTTCTTTCTAAATGAATGAATTTCCAAAAGAGTTTTATAATATAAATGTTTTCCTTTTTTAAAAAGCCACTTCTCTTGCAAAAGAGCAAGAATAAGGTAAAAGCACTGACTTTCCCACCCCCTCTAGACAACCAATATGTATTTAAGTGCCTATGATGCGGATAGCACTAAATGTAGTAGTAAATTCTCAATTTTACTTTGAGTAAATTCTCAATATTAACTGTTTTGAAAACAAATAACTATGTTTTGTATTACTTTAATTCTTCAAAAATAGGCCGGGTGCCGTGGCTCGCGCCTGTAATCCTAAGCACTTTGCGCTCAGGGTTTGGGACCAGCTTGAGCAAAGGCAAGACCCCCACCCCCGTCTGTCTCTACTAAAAATATAAAAATTAGCTGGGCACTGTGTTGCACCTATAGTCCCAGCTAGTCAGGAGGCTGAGGCAGGAGGATCACTTGAGCCCAGGAGTTTGAGATCGCAGTAAACTATGATGACACCACTGCACATCACGTGGGGTAATTTCAGTCTAAATTAATTATACTAAGATAATTAGTCTATTTGTCTCAAAAAAATACATAAATAAGTAAATAAAAAGTACTTAGTATAAGCCAATCAATCTCATTTTATCATTTAGTTAATGACTGAGATTTTAATTTCCTTCTTTAGACATGTTCTAAAATTCATCAGGCTCTATCTGCATTGGAAAACCAAACAAAATAAAATAAAAATAAAAAGTCTTGATTTTATTCAGCTAGTCTTCCTTCAACATAGCATGAACTATGAAAGTGAGCCAAACATTATTCTTCAAACTGAGAAAATGAATGGTTAGATCTTTTGATGTGGGTTCAGTTAAGTTCAATTATTCGCTACCAGTTGAACTAAACTTCTTTCTTTTCCTTAGGTAAGAACAATCATCACAGTCAAATACTTGAAAAAACTAAATAAAAGAAATAATAGATAAATATATAAGTTGATGTTTGGAATGCAAGAACCAAAGTAAAAGCAAATACACACACAAGTCACCAGTCATCCATCTGCACATAACCAGACAATAATTTTGAAAATTAGAATACTTGGATTAAATTATCTTATTTTGTTCCTGTCCTTTAAGAAAGAAAGAAATACAAAGCACTCAAAATGCTGACTAAGCAAGGATGGGATGGATGTGAGTAAAATATAAATACTGATGTTTTTGCACTAGTTGGGATCTCATCAAGAGGTGGCCAATTTTAGGTGCACAGTAAGTACATATTGCATAATACTTTGGTACTGATGCTGTTGGGTTTGGAACTCAGAGATTTCGCAAATAGAAATAGCATAGACAAATGCAAGCGAAGCAGATAGGAACAACAGTATTAAAGCTTTTTTCTTAATGATTCTTCCTATTAGCCATAGGTCCTAAATAGTCATCTATCAACATGCATTTTTAGAAGAAATTCATCTCCTACAGAGGTCTTAAGCCTTACTATAACATAAAAATGCAATAATTTGATAAAATGCTAAAAATAGGAATAAGAAAGTGACATCCAAAAAAAAAAAATCTTAAAATGCAGGAAGTGTTTTCCATAACTAAACTAATGAAGTAGTCCAAGAGTGGTAAAATATTTCATCATTAGGGATGATTCCATATCGGAAATGAAGAATATACAACTTTCTAAACAGCCTAAGAAAAGAATATGTAGACCAATTTTGAAATTAAACCCCATAGAGGTGTTGACAGGCGGAGCAAGAAAACAGTGCTTGATGACAAAGATTAGGAGCTATTTACAGATTTGACAGTAGTTCCCATTCTTTCAGCAGAATTGGTGACATAAAACCAAGTGCACCAAGTTATCATAGTCCTCTTTCTATATAGAGAAAAATATGAATGCAGGTTAAGAGATTTCTGGAAAGATTCACCACTATATTTATAATTTTTTATTCGAACCTTGAAGATTTTACCCATGCTTATAAATAACGCGGAAGAAAGAAGCACAGATCATAGAATGAAAACTAAATTTTAGTTTCTCTTTTCTAAAAGTAAAAAAAAAAAAAAAAAAACCAAGACGCTGAAGCCCTGAATAACAATTATTATTAATGAAGAAGCACAAAAACATGCCAAGGGTTCATCCTATGGGAAGATAAAATCAGGGGTAGTGAGGCCGTTTGCTTGTCAATAGCACACACCGTTAGTCGAGTTTTCCATTCTGAAGGCGATTTCGGGCTTTCTCTTTTCTGAAGAGAGAGACGACTTTGATGCATCCTTTTGAAATTTTGATCATCCACATGATATTCATCACATCCAAGATAACACAGGAAGCGATCCAGGAACACTGGATTACTAAGCCGAGCCTTTCGTAGGGTTCTGTTCCGTACACGGAGTACATGAAGCCGTACAGGGGCGGCATGGAGGCCACGCGCACCAGGAAGAACACCACCATCATGAGGATGCCGTTGACGACGTTGGCTGTGCAAAACTTAGGGTATTTCAGAGCTTCAAAGAACCATCTGGAAAAAGAACGGAGGAAAATCACATTGACGCTGCACCTCTGAGGAGTAGCCCTGTTAGTTTCCGTTTGTCATTGTTTTTTTAATTCATTGAAAGCCCCGCTAAGATTTACACAGAAAGGCAAAGTGCCTGCCGTGGTTGACACAATGCTGAAAGAGAACGAAGTCGGAAGACTCAGGGAGACTTACCAGAAAGCTACTGTGACTGTCAAAACTAGCTGCTGTAATGGTCAAGAACTAACAGTGTGAGCAGCCAAAGAGCATGGCATTGCCAAAAGAATAAACAAATCACCGGAACGACACAGACAGCGCAGAAATAAACCTGCACAGATATGCTACTCAACTGGTTTTAACAGGGGCATGAAAGTAATTCGAGGGAGAAAGAATGTCTTTCAATGAACTGTGCAGAACTGTATATCCACATGCAGAAAAATGAACTGACTCCTTAGCCAAAAATTAACTCCAAGTGGGTCAAAGACCTAAGTGTAAAATGAAAAAACCATGAAACTTCCAGAAGAAAATGTAGGGAAAATCTATATGATTTGGAGTTTTATAAAAGATTTTACATAAAATACCAAAAGCACAATCCATGTCAGAAAAACTGACAAGCCGGCCTTCACTAAAATTAAAAACTTGCTCCTCCGTTAAGAGAATGAAAAGATAACCACATGCTGGGAGAAAATATTTACCATATATTGTGTGTAAATATTTATACATGATGAAGTACAAATATGATATCTGTATAAATACTTGTTACTTCTATATAAATATATATAATAAAGTACAACATACAATAAGATAAAATATACACAGAATTCTCAAAACTCAGCAATAACAATTCAATTAAATGAGAAAAGAGTTAAACAACTTATCAGAAAATACAGATGAAAATAAGCATATGAAAAGATGTTCAATGTTGTCATGAGAAGATACAAATTTAAACAGGAATACTACCACACACCTATTAAAACGGCTAAAATCCCAAAACACTAACAGTTGGTGGCAAGAACGTGGCACAACAGGAACACTCATTTAATGATGGTTGGAATGCCCGATGGTACAGCCACTTGACAATTATAGAAACGTGTGTATACCCACATGAGTATGTTTCCAAGTTCTATCAGCTGGGAGGCCATGGAACAAAGATGCCTCCGTAGTGATGGGCACACCCAGTGCCCACATCTTGGTTTCTAATACCGTTTACGATGAAAGGAACCAGGGCTCCTTGAGAAATGGCTGATGCTAGGTCTAGGAACAGAGGACATGCTGTGTGAATCTCTTAGAGAATCAGGTAGTGCTGGAAAGTAAGGAAGTACTCAGAAACCAAGATGTCTGTCATGTCAAAAGAACACAACAGCCAACTGAAAGAGCTCTCAGGGTCAAAAACAGTTTGAGCAACAAAATAAATAATATAGTATTGAATAACCAGTAGTTCATACTGATATGAATGAATAAAGAGAGAAGAAACTAATCTCCTGCTCAGAGTAACTGCAAATAATTTACATAGATATTGCACCTTCAAAGAAGTAAAGCATAACTCCCTCCTCCTCAAATACAGACTGAATTGGGTCCCCCTAAATTCTTATGTTGAATCCCTAAGCCCCAGTGTGACTGGCTGTATTTGGAGGCCCTTTACGGAGGTAATTACAGTTAAATGATGTCACAAGGGTGGGCCCCAATTCAAAAGAATCAATTGAAGAGGAAGAGACAACAAAATTCTCTCTCCCCCTCCTTCCGTGTGTACGCAGAGAAACGTTCACATGAGAACACAGAGAGAAGGTACCTTTGGCAAGATGAGGAGACAGGCCCCCACCAGAAACCAACCTTCCTGGCCTCTGGATCTTGGATTGCAGATTCCAGAACTGTGAGAAAATAAATTCCTGCTGTGTAAACCACCCAATCGGTGGCATTTTTTATGGCAGCCCCAGCAGACTACCACACACAGTGACTTCCTTCCAAAGGGCACCGTATGGAAGGGGGGATGGCTTACGCCGAAGCTGTCCTGGATAGAAAAGATAGCTTAACAACAGAGCAACCTACAAACCATCTCGGCCAGCTGGACAAGGCTAACAGAAATGGTGTGTCATGTTCACAGCGTATAGTCCTAATGAAACATGATGGCAAGGACACTGGACCTCTGTCATGAGAAAAACATCAGAGGGACCCAAATTAAGAGACATTGCTTCTACAAAACAACTGATCAGTAATCCTCATACTGTCAAGGTCAAAGACAAGGAACATCTGAGAAGCCTGAGCAGAGGTGACAAATAAACAGAGTATCATGGGATTCTGGGACAGTAATGGGACACTGGGAAACAACTAAGGAACTCTAATGAAGTATGGACTTTAGTTGGTAATAATGTACCAATATCGGTTTGTTAATCGTACTGACTGCACCAGGCTAAGGTAAGATGCAACAGCAGGGGGAACTGGATGTGGGGTATATGGAACCCTCTGTATCATCCTTGCAACTTCTCTAAAAAAGTAAATCTATTCTACGATTGAAAGTGTATTTTTTAAAAGTTCAGTGAGCACTTGCCTCATTCTACTTTTATCTCCTTAAAAAAACTACCTTGCCTAATTTTATATTGTTGTTTCAAAGTTTAAATTGTAAAGGCAGTAATACATATCCATGTACAACGTATCTTCATATTCATTTCACCTGAATTAGTCATGGTTAAGCTGAAACTGTTCAAGCTAAGACACTAAAAATTAAACTAAAAAGCTTCAAAGTATTTCATTGAGAGATTAAAATATCCAATAGGAATAATTTATAGAAGAAGAGATATAATTTACATGTAGGATGAAAAAAGGAAGGCTAAGTTATTCAAGACAATTAAAAGAGAAATTATTTAGACAGCAACAGTCAAATTAAGAAAATACAGGGTGCCCCCAAAGTCACCATACATAATAAGGGAAACACGGGAAACTGCAGTTAAATGGACCTTTATTTACAGAATATTCATTACAAAATTTTACAAAATGTTTATGAAATGTTCTCTGTATGTTGGCCACCTCTTTCTACACACACACACACACACACAGTCTTCTCTCCCACTCAGGGTGAACGTGTTCCAAGATAATGGATAGTTTGCAAGTTTGTTAATCTGTCCTATGTATGGAGACTTTTGGAACACACTGTAATATTGCAAATGGCAAAAACGTCACGGAAGCAGTAACATCCACACACTTTAGTCCAGATCTGTCCTCCAGCCATCTCTTCTCCAAACACCTCCTTCCTTCTTCTCCTTCAGCCATTCATTTCCTTGACTACAGGATGACCTTGGGATTGCTCAAAGAATGCTATACCTCAAATAAACCATCCCCCTCTAATCACAAGTATTTCATTTCACCCAATTTCATGTAAACTTCTTCGACCCCCAAACCCTCAGATCCCTCTCTGCCAGCCTCCACACTTCCTTTCCTACTTAATCTGAACATAAAGTTGACATCAGAACACACATCAGCACCTTCCGTTCTTCTGTCACATCACCCCGCCCACCCACCCTGCCTGGCTCCGTGGCCTCACCAGGTGGCTTCCCTTAGGCAGCGTGGTAAGCCTGGAGGAGCAGGTGCAGGGCTACGCCGCCGTCAGGCTGCCTGGTCAGAGCCTAGTCCTGCCACTCAGCAGCTGTGTGCTCTTCAGCTGTATGACCTGTATGCCTCAGTTTTCTCTCTATAAATGAGAATAATAAGAGCACCTCTTTGTACTAAGAAGCTGTTATAACATGTGGTAAGAACTCTCTCATACTATGACTTCAATAAATATTTTCATCCTCATCTCCATATGTTAAGTAAATGGCACAGATATGTTTTTAGGAGATAAAAACTTCAGCTTGACGTTTCTTTTACTTAACTCCATACAACCGCTTACAAACCTGCCCGACCATTCAAGTCATTTCCCTTCTTCATTAGTTTCTGCATCTCTATCCCATCAGAGGAACTAGTCTCTTCTATTACTGAGATACAGTTGCCTCTTGAACAGCATGGGTTAGGGAAGGCAATTCCCCCCTCATACTAAAAAATCTGCATGTAACGTCTGACTCCCCCGAAATATAACTACTAATAGCCTACTGTTGCCTGGAAGCCTTACTAATAACAGAGCCGATTAACACAGGCATATTATATATTACTCTTACAATAAAGCAAGCTAGAGAAAAGGAAATACTAAGAAAATCACAAGGGAGAGAAAATATATTCACTATCCGTTAAGTGGAAGTGGGTCTTCGTAAAGGTCATCTTCATAGTCCACACGCTGATGGAGGAGGAGGAGTGGGGGCTGGCCTTGCTGTCTCAGGGTAGCAGAGGTGGAGATAGGGAAGGGGGGCAGCAGAGGGGCAGGCACACTTGGTGTGACTTTTATTGAGAAAAAAAAAATCCATGTACGAGCAGATCCATGCAGTTCAAATCCATGTTGTTCAAGGGTTAACTGTATTACAGTCCATCGACCATGAATTCCTTCCATTCTGACCCCAAGATCTCAAAATTTCTTTTCAAGCACCTTACCTTTGCTTTCAGAAAAATAATATTCACCTTCTGAGATTTTATTCCATAAACTATCCCCTTTCCCCTTGCTCCATCAAGTTCCCCATCTATAAATCGATTCTTTCTCCTCTCTTACCAACATGGTCCATGCTTCCTAATCCCCAAATTTCTCCTCCTCTGCTTCCTTTCCTTGCCAAACCTTTTGAAAAAGGAGTCAACAACATATTCACAGACATTCTCAACACTCTCCAAAATCCAGAAGAGTATGACTGTGTCTCTCTGCAAAAGAAACAGGTCACCAGTGGCCTCCTCATAACTAAGACAGTAGATTCATCCTAGCCTCCATCTGGTTGACCTCTGCATAGCATATGATACTGTCAACCACTACACTTCCTCTTTCCTTCCTTAATTGCCACAATACTACTTCCTCTTGATTCCTTAACTATGTGTTAAGAATCAGTCTTCAGCCTTTTGGCAAGAGATGCCATGTTTTAGTAATTCACCAAAATGACAAA